TTTATCAATTAGTAATTCTATTCGTATTTTATTGTTTTCTTGTAGTGTCATGTGATAATTAAGAGAAAGACAAAGTATAAACCTACAAGAAACCAAATCAACAACTCAATTGATTCTTGAGTGATAGATTTTGGATAAGGACACATGATTGAACCCTGATAGCTAAAGTACGTGTAAAGTTTCACTCAATGTAGTGGCCGGACTCCTTGTGGGCACTAAGGGTCTTCTCACCTAATGAGTCGTTGATTCACTTTGATTTAGGCTTTCACTATTCTGTTAGCTTGGGGTATGGGAGCACCAACATAACGGATTATAAGGAAATTAAATAATCTCCAAGAGTCACGTGAACGACAACTACTCCCAATTCATACATACATATATATATATATATATATATATATATATATATATATAACATATACAACTATACAATTCTATCTAGTATACCAAATGCCCTATCATGTGAAGCAGTCACAAGAAAAAAGACAATCCATGTATAATGCTAAAAGAAACCATCCATGCATGTCGAAAGCAACAATGTAATAAATCATTAAAAGGATCGGAAACAATCTATCCATGTGAACCGTACCACAACTGCTCCCAATGCATCAACGAAGTCACACGTTATTAATGAATTAAGATAATTGTGCATCCAATTAGAGCTTACTACTGCAGCTAACTAGCTAGCTCAAAGTAGCTAATCCCATCAGGGTTTCAACGACGAAGCAGGCGGTTAAGAGCATCTCCATCTGTATGAATTTTTATGGGGTTTATGTCAGAAATTTAAAAAAAAAAAAAAAATTAGCGACCACCCTCAATACACCCAATGAGCACGTGTAGTACACGCGCCCGCTAGGCGTTGCTGGTGCCGCGCACCAGCAGTAACCTTTATATATATATATATATATATATATATATATATATATATATATATATATTCATTTTGTGAGGGCCACCTTTGAGACAAAAACTCACTCTTCCTTTAACACTTTTTTTTTTCCTTCACTCTCTCTTTTCTCTTTCTTCCACCTTAGCTATAGACTCTAAAAATCAAGCAAAATCCACAAATGGAGATGCTCTTAGTGACGCCCGCATAACTTAGCTTTTCTTGATGATTGACAAAGGATATGATAATTCTCAAAGCCAATGATAATTCGTTGGCTACTTTCAGGAAGTTGAAATTCTCATTACACTCCTTTCATGCTTGTTAGTATAATACTCCCTTAGTCCCATTTTATATGTTTAATTCGGTTAACGAGGTTTGACTGAAGTTATTTTTAATTCAATTTTTAATAATATTAAGTTTAGTATTAGCATACAAAATTTATATATTTAGAAACTACACTAAAAGTACTATTAAACACAAAAAAAAAAATTAAATTTAAAAATAAGTAAAAAATACTAAAGAAAATAAACAAAGAAAAAGAGTTGATTTGACCAATGAATAGTAGGTATGATAAATAAAATGGGACAGAATGAGTATTTGTATTGGTGTATTTTTAGTTAAAAGTAACTTAGATTGAGAAAGGTTGTTGGTGTGTTATTTTGTTAGTTTTCTAATATTTGATAGTAAGTATGATATACTTATAGCAATTTTTCCCCCTGAATTATTTAAGTGGTTGTTTTTTCCCCTGAAATGTTAAATGGACATATTTACCCTTAAAATAACTATTTCATTTATTTTTCTTCTCCAACAAATTATGATCACAATTTTGTTCAAACCAAACAGACACAATAGCAACCAAACCGAAATATTCTAATTAAAATTTAGAATCGAAACCCGATATTTAGAGTTTATTAAAATCGCGAACCGGGACGGTCGGTTCATGTTCCGAACTGAAAAAAATAAAATACATTTATTGTTAAATTTAGACTATTTTAGAATAAAAATAAAAAATTTTGAAATAAAGACGGTTCAAAAGCGTGAACCGGATCTAAAACCGCCGGTTCACGGTTCAGGATCCAGTTTTTTCGATTCATAATTTTAATAAAATGAAATCCAAATATTGGGTTCTGGATCCGAATCATAACCGGAAACTTTTATTTTGATTGCTATAGTGTCCGGTTCAATTCGAATCGAACCGTGATCATCCCTACGTATACGCAATAATTTGTTGGAGAAGAAAAATAAATAAAATATTTATTTTAAGGGTAGAAATGTCAATTTAATATATCAGGGGGGAAAATCGTCACTTTTAAAATAATTAAAGGGAATAATTTGCTTACATGAATATTTCAGGGGGAAAAGTGCTATAACTATATAACTCAGGGGGAAAAAGTGCAATTTTCCCTTATAAAAATCCAAGAAGATCATGAATGTTTCCTATTCACTCCTGAATGAGAAGTGAATATATTTCTATTATTATGACCTTCATTGAAAAGGAAAAAAAAAAAAAAAAATTGGAAGTTTTATTTTCTGGCAGGTTTGACCATTGTGTAGTTGGTATTTTGGGCATAACTCTCTCTACATAGAACTGATTGAGTTGATTAAGATCTCATTGGAAATGTAACTCACATAACTACATAGTAAGTTTCCATTCCATCTGTTTCCTTTTACACTTTGGAATTTTTTTTATTTTTATTTTTTTTAAGTAAAAAGTCAGTTGGGGTTGAAATGACAACTATATATTCCAAGAGGTGCTTTTGAGAATGGTGGGGGAAGAAATTCTATCATTATAACAAGGGAAGCCGTAGGCACTACAACAGTGACTATATATAGTCTGACTATGAGGAAATTGGTTACCAATATTTGTGAACAGACCTTCAATGGGAGTTGCATCTGAAGGCAAGAGGGATCTTGCAATGACATGTGTTCAAGTTTCATACTTGCTTGTATAAGTTTATCTGTCTTATATAATTAAAAATGCATAGTAAATTGAGCTTCTTTCTAGGCTTGGCCCTCGTGGATTCAACCACCTTAAAATTTGTGTCTCAATTTTCTTTAGGGAAAAGGGTCAAATACACCCTCGAACGTTACCTGAGAAGTCAATTAGGCCCCCGAACTTTTGAAAGTTGTAATTAGGTACATAAACATGTCGATTTAGTGCATCAAGACACAAGTACTTGTTAGTTGCCTTTAATAATATGTTACTAGGTTGTCTTGCCAAGTTCTGGTGACACAAATCGACAACAGCGATCATCACGTCGCCAGAGAAGGGTTGGTCGCCTTCTCCGTCCCTTGGAGATGGCAACCAGTTTGGTTGCCTTCTCCAACAGCGGAGAAGGCGACCAATTTGGTCGCCATCTCTAGTCGTCAGAGAAGGCGACCAACCCATCTCCGGTGACATGCTGGTCGCCGTTGTTAGTTTCACCACTGGAAAACCTAAGCTAGTAACATGTTATTTCAAGCCACTTACAAGTATTTAGGCCTTGATGCACTAAATCAACATGTTTATGTACCTAATTGCAACTTTCAAAAGTTCGAGGGTCTAATTGACTTCTTAGGTAATGCTTAAAGGTGTATTTGACCGTTTGTCGTTTTCTTTATCTATATGTTTGGTTGCACTACATGATTAATTATAACTCGTAAACAAGTGTTTGGTATTCCTTAATATAATGCTTTCAAAATGTAAAGTCATTGTGCTTTAATATATGCTCCTTTTTAGTAAAAAGAAGGAATAAGGGTCTAATATCTCACTCAACTGCACACCAAACTACAATTAGGTCATTGAACTCAAAAACAATGCAATTGAGCCCCTGAACAACACAAAATCATGCAATTAGGTCCAAAATGACCTGTTTACTTGAAAGTGCGGGTTATCGATTTTAAAAATGATTTTTAAAATAAAATAATTAATTAAAATTTAAATTTAAATTAAAAAAAAAAAAACTAAACTAAACTACCCGCGGTTCGTCTCCATGGCCGGAGACGAAGGTTCCTTCATCTCCAGCCATGGAGACGAAGGGACCACCTGGCCATGGAGTTTTGTCTCTATGGCCGGAGACCACCGGTCTCTCATCGTCTCCATGGCCGGTGGTCTCCAGCCATGGAGACTAAACTCCACGGGCGGTGGTCTCCGGCCATGGAGATGAAAGTCCATGGTCAGGAGGTCCCTTCGTCTCCAGCTATAGAGACGAAGGTCTTCTTCTCCATGGCTATAGACGAAGGGTGAGACGAACCACCGGTAGTTTAGGTTTTTTTTTTTTTTTAATTTTAATTTTAATTAATTATTTTATTTTAAATTATTTTAAAAATCATTTTTAAAATTGATAGCTGCTCTTTCAGGTAAACTGGTCATTTTGGACCTAATTGCATGATTTTGTGTTGTTCAGGGACGACCCAAATGCATTTTTTTGAATTCGATAGCCTAATTGTAATTTGGTGTGTAATTGAGTGGCCAATTCGACCCTTATTCCTATAAAGAATTATATAGATTCAATCAATTATTTTTTAAAAAATTATATCAACAGCAATATTTCTCATTTTAATAATCCAAATTCTAAATAGATTAAAAGAATTTAAAAAAAAAATAAAAATCAATTGCACTTGCACTCATGTATTATAATCCTTTTCCTTTTGTCTTCGATTCATATTATCTCACATAACATTAGAAATATGAATATGTTGATATTAGATTATCTTATTTGGTTGGGGGAATTTGAGGTACGTTGTTGAGAAAAACATCAAGAGATCAAGAACAGAAAACGTAAACGAAGAAAAATAGTTTACGTGAAGGATGGACTAAGAGCCTACATCCATGGGAGCGAAAGAAATTTTTATTAATTGTAATGATAAAACATCTAGAGTTACAAACATCGTATTTATAGACAACATGAGACATACACGTACAACACGAAGTTGTTGTACAGGGTGACGTTCCCAAACTTTGCTCTTTTTTTTTTCTTTTTTTTTTTAAGAAAAAAAAAACTTTTTATGAGAATTACATTCCCTTTCACATTCATAAGTTATGTAAGATTTCAAAAATGTTACATTACCTCCAAACATCCCTCGAACCAAACATCATTTACTATTCGACAATGAATAAAAGTTACAATACAAGTTGACAATAAATTCTATCTCGACTATACTTGATTTCATTATTGAGTCTATTAAACAATATGAATGAGCTAAGCAACAATATTTTACACAATTTTATTGGAATACAAAAGAGAAGGAAAAGGCAAATGAAAGAGATGCATTTAAGTTACTATCACTACACAAACTATGTGCCATGGAAGCAAGCTAAGAGAGTCCTATTTCTCCATCCACTTTCCTTTTTGCTTTTCCCTTCTCAAAAGAACACATTCCATCTTTCCTTGAATTTCCCTCTCTATATTCCCTTTAATCTTGAATTCAAATCTCTACACAATTGAATGAATCCATTTGAGCCATAAAGAATCCACCATGCATGCATGCAAGCACCCAAATTGTTTTTGGAAACCAACAAGGAGTGGCCTAAGGGCGTGTTTGGTTGGAGCTAGGAGCTAGGAGCTAGGAGCTAGGAGGGAACAATGGTGCCCACATATCCGAATCCGATTATAAAGAATGCGATGGCTTGAAGTATGATGTACCAATAATACAATTGCTTCCCAAATATAAGGTCATAGCAGCCGCAAAACAAGAGATATGCCCCAAAACATAGCTCTAAAACAAGCACTCTGTTAAAAAAATACAAATAAAAATAATACGTCAACCAATTAATCATCCATTCATACAGTAACTGGGTAAGGTCGAAGCGAGCGAATTTTATTTTTATTATATTTTTTAAAAAGACGAAAAATGTGACCCCTCTAACTTTACAAAAACAAAAGTTACAATTTTTGCTTCTCAAGCAATCGAAACATGAGCCTTCATTTTGATTTGGATCATACTCGTGTCTGATACGATATGCATGTGTTTCGGTAAAAATTACTTATCAATTGATTTTTTTTTTTTTTTAATTAATGAAGGTTCACATTTCATTACTTAAGAGACGGTTGTCACAAATTTTTGGTAAAATAATTGAAAAATAGCAACTAAAAAACAATAATTCGAAAATACATATTCTAAACTACATATTAAAAAGTGAATATAGACATGTGGAACATTACTACTATTATCATTCTTACATCAAATGCCAGTGTGGCAGTGTGCTCTCAAGAACAGTTATTTCAAAAGGAAAAAAAGAAAAAAAAAAAAGAAAAAAAAAAACAGAAAAGAAAAGCGAATTAAGCATATATCAATATATAGTGAAGATGGTTAATCGAAGAAATAATGGTTTGCCAACGACTTTATAGTCAAGTGGCATCATAAGTTTGTAACTTCTAAATAAATACTACAAGTTTGATAGCAAACCATCAAATGAATTAATAATTAATAATAATAATAATAATAATAATAATAATAATAATAATAATAATAACTTTACTTATGTGTGAGAGGGATTATAGACCTGTTTGGTAACATAGTTAGTTTATCCGTCAATTTTAAATTATTTGACCACTATTGATTATTTGATTTGGTTAAATAATCAATATGAATGTTTGATTAATTAGTTTTTTGTAACAGCTTATTACTTGAACAACTTTATCGATCAACTTTTTGAGAAAGTCATTTTGCATGTAATAAGCTAATAGCTAATTTAGCAAACATTTTTCTACAATCAGCTAATATTATCAACTAGTCAAACTCACTAACCCAATCAGTTAATATCTATTAGTTATCTGTTATTTCGCAAACACCCCCTATATATGCATGGTTAACGGTGCTAGTATTAATAAATATTAACAGTGTATAGAATATAGTATTGAGGAGAAGCTAAGCTAAGGAAGAATTTGTACCTTTCTGCAATCTTGAAACGTGGTGTTTTAATGGCTTGTGCAGCCGATTTTAATTTGAAAGCATCGCCTAATTTCTCTGTCACAATCCACTCGTTCACCCTACCCACCTCCATCAATCCTATTAAGGTTCCCTTTGTCCGATGTAGTGCCATAACATTCTCAAACAGCAGCCAGAACGACAACAAGTGAAATGACCTACATATTTTTTAATTTTTTTTTTCAAGTTTAATTCAAATTAGAATCAGTCAAAATCATAATCGAAATCAGAATTTTTAGGGTTTTGAATTATTGAGGTATATCCTGTAAGTATGTTTTGTAATTTTGTTGTATCAGGTATTATTAGCACCATGCCAATAGTATCTAATACAACCAAATATACCTACATAGTTACAACTTCGAATTTGACATTGATTGATATTTGAGAGAAATTCATTATTGTCGGTATATTTGTGTATGTTTGGTTGAATCGGGTATTGTTGGCACCCGTGCCGACAGTATCCAATACAATCAAGCATACCTACCAACATTGTAAAAGTCAGTCTAGGCGGCTGCCGACTAGGCGCTAGGCTCCCCTAGGCCGAGGCAATTTCAACTCTAGGCGGCTTTTAATCCACCTAACGATTAACCGGCCGACTAGGTGCCCTAGGCGTTGAGTTGGGCGCCTAACTCAACTAAATCAGTGCCCAACTCGGTTGAGTTTTTTTTTTTTTTTTGCCTTCTCAGCTACTCTCTTCTATATTTCTCCAGTACTCAACTAACCATCTAACATATGTAATGGACTAGTTTGGGGGTTAGAATAGTCTAACGACTCCTAACCCTGAGTGAAAAAAGTTGAGACGATATACTCGAAGTTCTCGTCCGCCTAGGGCGCCTAAACACCGCCTAGGCAATGGGTGTCCCCTGGACACCCAACTAGCGCCTAACACTTTCTGCAACATTGATACCTACATAGTTCCAACCTTGTATTTGACATAGATTGACATTTTAGAGAAATTTATAATTAAGACGGTAGAAAAATGATTACAGACCTCGGAGTGCCGACACTATTGAGGATAGTGATGACAACGGGAATATAAACTGCACCCCATTTTGGAACATCAACGTCAGGCACCAGACAAGCTGTGGGTAGTACTACGCAGTAAAAGACGAATGTGACAATGTGGGCTATCACCTTCCTAACGAAGAAGAAGCTGTATATTACGTGAACCTTCTTCCAAGCATTAACATTCTGCAAAAATTAAGAGAATTTTATATCAATAATGAGCTATATATGATCATTGGTTAACAACATTAATCTTGACGAAGTTGATGTTTTTAAACCGATAAATTTGTTTTCCCTGATTAAGATCTAAGGGTTTTTCTATTGTACTGGTAGTACTAGGTATACTTGCTCCTAGTGTTGAGTTTATTGGTAATGGTGCTAACAATACTTAGAACAACTAATTACGATATATTTGATTGTATTGAGTAATATACGTGATTGATTAATTAGTAATATATAGAAGGGAGTTGTAGAAATTCTTAACCTTATTTCTTACGATCTCCATAAACATTTTTCTAAAAAGATTGGCTGGACCACATGACCATCTATGTTGTTGATAGCGGAAGGCCTTGAACGTACTTGGTAATTCATTTTTCACCTATAAAACAATCAAGTTTAGTAGTTAATTACATCATAATATATATGAATCAATCATATTAGGATGTTTCGAAAATGGTGAAAAATTGTAAGGATCCAATAATTGCATGCAACCTACTGCATGTGTTTAATTTCTTCGATCAATTATTGGTAGAATATAATGGTAGGTCAGAGGTGGCCTAACAAGAAATGCATCAATGCATATTCAATTTTAAAATTTTTGAATTTCGAGTTTTTTTTTTTAATAATACTCACTCTGTTATAATATAGTATCTGTAATAATTGAATTTCGAGTTTAATTTTAAATAACTTGAAAAAAGTTTATCAATCTTTAATTTTAATAGAGTAAAAAGATCGAAGTGAATTACCGTGAGAGTACCAATATACAAGAATTTCCAGCCTCGAAGACTAGCTCGAACAGCTAAGTCCATATCCTCAACAGTTGTACGATGATTCCATCCACCAGCCTCATCAATTGCAGCAATTCTCCATACACCTGCCGTGCCTACATTTCCCACATGCAATAATAATTATTATTTCAGAAATTATATGTATATGAAACATGCAATAATTATTTCATAAACATTATTTTAAACATGGAATGCTATACTTATAGAACTAATAATCCACATGCAATAATTATTTATTTCATAAAAGCTTTTTAATTTTGACACATGGAATGCTACAATCCACATCCACTAGCAGCATGATGTTGACACTTACAATTACATCATAAAGTTGACGCACATAATCATATCACTTAAAATATGATGAGTATTGGTTTGTAACCCTAGAGAGTGAAATATATATATATATATATATATATATATATATATATATATATATATATATATATATATATATATATATACACGGGTGAGTTAAAATGAGAACAACCCTCATGTAAAAAGTGAAGATCGATCGATCAGCTGCCCATCAAGGTTCATGAATGATTAAGAGTATTGAGTAAAAAATATATAGATCAATTTTATAATTATTGCAATCCGTCCTCTATCCCCTAATTTTTCAGCCACCCTCAACCGATGATTTACCCATATGGATGAATCAGATCAATCATTACTTTTTATCTAGAGTTGTTCTCACTTGAACCATTATATATATATATATATATATATATATATATATATATATATATATATATATATATATATGTATTGGTGCATTTCCGAATATTGGTATGCATAAATGCACTACAAAGTGTTCGAAAATGCACCATTAGGTGTGATGCATTTTTTGTGGTGTGTAGGGAATTGGTGCATTTCCGAATCGTGGGTGGTGCATTTTTGCATACCAAATGGTGAATCTGCACCAACCACACGGAAAATACTGTCCGCATTTGAACCAGTATATATATATATATATATATATATATATATATATATATATATATGAAAATTTGCAGAATGCATGCTATTTAATGTTGGGTTGAATTTAATATTGAAAGTACAATAGATCTGATCTCTTTCTAATGGTATCCGGGTTGGACTTTAATTTGGAAGATTATGAGTTCAAGTCTCAGTGGAGGCGTTATTGGTTCTTTGTGTTTCAGTAGGTTGAGAAAGTATATGAACAGATACTACAATGTAATAGAGCCAGTAACTTTCAAAAAAAAAAAAAAAAAAAAAAGATCTGATCTCTTTCATCAATTATTTGTTGTAATTATTGTGGTACACCACTATATCGTTAGTGCAATGAATTAATTAATGTAAAAGACTTAATAGGACCCATACCATTAAAGCCAAAAAATGCATATGTGGAAGACCCAACTTCTTGCTCCACAGTAAAATGATAATCCAAAGACATTTCCTGCATCCTTGTCATCAAGCACTCGTCCGCATTCACTGCATCATATCATATCATTATGCTCAACCAAAAACCAACAAAAATAATTGTCTCCAAATCTTCTGGAATATATATACAACATTATTACATTGCTAATGTTGTTACTTGAGACACAACACGTCTTAGAATTTCGCATTAAGGTTAGATCCAGGCAAAAGGCCATGACTTCGAATAATGTGACAATTATGGAGACTGTGTTAACGTGTTGCTTGCAACCCATTATAAACTCAACTGTCAATTTTGATGAAATATATCTTTCAATTAGAACGGACGGATGTCAAATCTAAAGAAATTATATTAACCATTTTTTTTGTTCATCAAAACAATGACATTTTTACTTTTAGTTCTCGGTTACCAATTCGATCACTTTAATTCACACAAAATTTTTAAATTGAAAAAATTAGATCGAATATATAGCACATATAAAGGAAACCCTAAATCAAGACAAGTAAGTTTATATATGACATCAAGATTAATAATGTTATATGTGTCAATGTTTCTTCCATGTGAACTTTGAACCACTCCGTACTCACTTGTGCCATCATCTATCCCTATCACCACGTAAAAGAAAGCTAAAGGGTACTTATGACAAATCACTATCCATGTTTACTTGGATATCCTAATTTAACTATATTTTAATTTCATCTCATCAAGTCTTTTCTTATTATTCTCACTTCCTCTTCAACATTTGTTATTTCAATATTTTGATCACAAATTTTTTCAAATATTTTAAAATCATAGTATTTAAATCCCAAAGTCAAACCCTAAATAACAAGTAATATCACAAAATTATCAATGACCTTGTGGTCTAGTGATATGAAGTCATTTTTTTCAAATGAGAGGTCAGATACATTAAAAAAAAAAAATTCTCATTCACAAAGTTCAAAATCAAAATATTTTGTTCTGCTCAATTAAAAGTTTAAGATGATAAATGGACTGCATATTAATTGTTTTAATAAAAGATACTCAAACAACATTTTAAAAAAAAAAAACACACACACACACAATATTTAAGAAATTAAAACTAAAAAAATTAACCCCCAAAATTTTAATATAAAGGAATAAAATCTCTACCATTTAGCTGGCATCATGAAAACACCTTTTTTGCTATTATGGACCTCACATTTTCCAGTGGTCATGAAAATACCTTTTTTTTTAGCAATTATGAACTCACATTTTCCAGTGGTGGGGTAGTTGATAATTACTGGTAGTTGGTTACACCCATGGCCATGGGGATATGGGTTCTTCAACCCTAGCAAGAAAACAAAAACCTAAGCGGCCATACTATTGGGCCTACCACTTTTGACCTTTTTGGCAAACATACCAAATATGTTTTGTGCACAAAAATAAATCACCCTCTTTGTTATGAATCTAACCGTTAAAGAATTACAATGAGGTAATTAGTCTAAATTGTTTATAATTGACCGACTCAAATTAAAAAGATCAATAGAAAGCATTCACAAAAAATCAAATTTAAAATCGAGTTAACTGTTCGACTAACTTAGCTAGAGTTGCCCCCATTAAATAATCATGTCAAGTTCTGTCAATCTATCATGACACCAATTCCCTTGACGTAAACACATAATGCAACCTAGACCAATATTTTCTACTAATAAAGAGATACTTAATGTGAAAAAGGAGCTATATATATTTTTTTTTATTAAAATCAGATTTTGATCGCTTAATTATTTTTGAGTTATAAATTTAATATTTAAAAAAATATAAATTTGGTCCTTTAATTGTTAAAGAATTTGTAAATTCAATCTATCAACTACCTTAGGCATCAACTTTAATTTATATTTAGAGTTTTTTTATTAAAAATTTGTCAATTTTAATCCTAAAATATGTCACTTTTAGTCTCTTGTTAAAATTAAAAATAACACATTTTTGTAGAAAGGCAACTGGTCAATTCCGTGCCTGATATAAAATCTAAAACTTTTTTATATGCATCTATAATTTTTACCTAGCGTAAAAGATATTGATATTGATTATTATCTTACAGGTAGCCTAGCATTATAAAATTGTACTAATAATTATAACAAGTATAATGAAAGCAACCTATACTGTTGCTAAGGGTATTTGACTAAAATAGTACTAAGGACTAGTAACTTTTGCCATATAAAGTGCTCTGCCATTTTTTGTTTGCATTGCACGTGACTATGTACAATTGTACAAACAGTAACATTTAAAAAAAAATTAATATTTTATATTAAATAATGAATAAAAAAATTTAAATAGATGAGTAGATGACTAACTGTGACAATCAAATAAAAGTTAATGATATATAATGAAGCAAAATTTTTTAAAAAAATAAAAACATCAAGATAATCGATAATTAAAAGTGAAATTTATCAATAGAAAAATTAAAATATTTTACCATAAAAAAATAAAATAAAATTTGACAAATAATACGGAGTTAATTAGTACATATGTCCTTCTACTGTTTTTATACTACAATACGGTGTTGTTGTACAATGTCAAAGAATTATCTAATGTAGTTACTTAGTTGTTGCTCTTATGTCCCATTTCATTTGTTACACTTATTAGGTATACTATATATATATATATATATATATATATATATATATATATATATATATATATATATATATAATGTGCAGTCCAATTATAACATTGAGTTAATGACATATGAGATCCTCCAAATATAGTGGATTTGTCACGTCTAGTCCTAAACTTTCAAATTGATACATGTGGTTCTTCAACTTTCAAATTGTTACCATATGTGGTCCAAGTAACTACACATGGTCCTTCAACTTTCAAAATTTAACCAGCCCTGGTCCTCCTAGAAGGACCACAGCTGGTTAAAATTTGACGGTTGAAGGACCATGGATAGTTAACTTGAACCATGAATGGTAACAATTTGAAAGTCGAAAGACCACGGGTGATCAATTTGAAAGTATAGGACGAAACGTGGCAAAACCACTATACTCGGATGACCCGAATGGTATTAACTCTTAGAACATTTTAAAATTTTAATTAAGACATAACATATTTTTCAATTTAATAAAAAAAGATTTTTTTAAAAATTAATACAACTACTCTTATCTTAAGAATGAAATACTTAAATTAGTACAAAAATTTATGTAAAGCCATTCCACTAAACAAAAAAAGTATTAATAAATTGCAATACTTTTAAAAAAGAAATATTATTTTTTAGTTCAAAAAAGTATTACATTTTTATAGTAGTAACTGTCTCACGTTAAATAGTTCCATATAAAACTAACCAATTAATTAATATATAAAATCACATAGAAAATGAAAGGTGTTAACTATTATGAGATTAACAGACACGTAAAATAAGACAGAGAGAGTATTACAGTGCTTAAAATGAGTATAAAAAGCGACACAGTAAAATAATTGATAACTTACCGAATTTCCAACGAGCTTGGACAAGGGCAATCTTGGGATTGTGGACCAAGAAAGGGATGGTGCGCATGAGGTAATCGGGTTCGGGTTGAAAATCAGCGTCGAAGATAACAACGTAGTCACACTGCTTCACATAATAACGTTTCATGCCTTCCTTTAATGCCCCTGCTTTATACCCATTCCTGTTGTCACGAATCTCATATTTTATGTCCACTCCATTACTTGCCCACTTTTGACATTCCGTTTCCACCAAATTCTATCCAACGCAACAATAAAAGTAAAAAAAAAAAAAAATTAATTAAAAGTTAAAGATTCCATTCGATGTGGGTAAGTGACCAGGAATTCTGTGTGTTTTAATTAATTAATGACAATTAGAAACATCATTTTATGTATGTATTTTGTGGCTGACCCACCCACGTTCGTGGGTCTTGGTTTCACACTCCCAACAATTTACTAAAGTGGCATTTTATTCACGAGATTTTTTTTTTATAAGGTGAAGTGAATAGAAAAAAAATATTTCTAGAAAGAATAATATAATGGTAAAATAATAGTACTCAAAAAAATAATGATAAACTAAAATAGAAATATTATTCTATTATTTAGGGGGTGTTTGGTAAATAACTAATAACTGATTGGGTTAGTGAGTTTGACTAGTTGATAACATTAGCTAATTGTAGAAAAGTGTTTGGTAAATTAGCTGTTAGTTGATAGCTCATTACATGCAAAATGACTTTCTCAAAAAACTGATCGAAAAAAAGCTATTTTGAGCAATTTTTTAAATTTTAGCATTTTGTAGCAATAAACTGTTACAAAAAGCTAATTAATCACACTCATATTGCTTGTTTAACCAAGCCAAACAGCTAATAGTGATCATATAACCAAAATTGACTGATAAGCTAACTATGTTATCAAATAGGGCTTAAGAGAACTATATATATATATATATATATATATATATATATATATATATATATATATATATATATATATATGAAATTAAAGAAAAATCATCCGTGTTTAGCTGGTTTAAGAATGGAGGAAGAAATAAACTATCAAATGGAAAAAATCTTACTTTCTCCTATTAAAATTACCGTATAATATTTACTATCTCATATGAAATTGAATTAAAAAAAAAAAAAAAAACCCTTTATTTTTATTAACATCCTGTGAATGTACTATTTCACAATGAGTTGATAAAAATTGTACATAATAATTAAGTGTACAAAATATTTAATAAAATGATGACATGTTATACAGTAAATATTTTCGGAGTCTGATTTTTCTGATTGCAAAGAGAATAATTTGTTTAGTAAACCAAATTTGGAAAAAACAAAAAGTCTTAGTATTTGACAAATTATAATTGTATGTACTTATTTATTTTGTGAACTAATCGTGACGTAAATCCGTAGATGTATTATAACTTATTAGGGTGTGTTTGGGTGTAGGACACACAGTCCTTGATAGAGAGGGTGGTGGGGGTTAATACTGAAATTTAAGATTCCACAGAGTCGATTGTGGTTGGTGAGCTGTATTGAAGGACACAAACAATCAAATATGGAAAGATAGGATTTTAATGAGAATTTATTAGTTACCTTAATAATTGGGTCTGTTGAGTCATCAAGAACTTGGATTATGATTCGGTCGGAAGGCCAAGATAGTGCACATGCTGCGCCGATTGAAAGCTTATAAACCTGTTCAAAATTAATGACTGGCTAGAGATTAAAATCTTGGGGAGTAAATTAATAAAATAATAAAATATGGCTAACAAAAAAAAAAAAAATAATAATAATAATAATAAAATATGGCTACTGTCAAAGACATTGTGGTTGAACGGCATAATTGTGGTTCTTTGAAAGTATGTATAGACAAATATTACATTGTAACGTAATTAATACAACTCAATATATATATGGCTACCACTACGCCATTTGGTTGTAGTGTATTGTGTGTCCTAGATTGCTTTACTTGAGGTCCACACACTTTAATTAATAAGTTAATTTACATCTCTAATTTATATAAAGAGATTACTACTTTGGTCTCTCAATTGTTTTTGAGGTGTCAATATAATCACTAATTTTCAAGTTCAACTAATTTGATTATTGAATTGTTTAAAATTTCGTCAATTAAACCCTTCGAGGGGCAAATTGACGAAATTTTAAAAATAAAAATGGAGAAATCACCATTTTGGTACATCAGAATGTTTAATTGACGAAATTTTAAACAATTCGAAGATCAAATTAGAGACTACATTAACAGTTGAAAAATAATTGAGGGATCAAAATTGTGATTTTCCCTTATATAAAAGGTACCACAATAATTAGTCTCTACAGCTGACAATATAATTTATTATCAGACTATAGATCGTACCTATTATTATCGAATTGTACCAAATATTATTGAAATATTTTCAATCATACATGCACAATCATTTCAATAATACAGGTACAATGCATGATTTTACGAGAATTTTTGAGTGATGAGAAAAACTCGCAGCCACTATTCAAAGATGTGTATATGGTTGAGTCTTACCTTTTGACCCTAGTTAACAAAGAACCAAAAGAAGGTAAATTAGCCTAAATTGTCCACAATATTCCTATTAATAATCAGGGAATACAAAAAATCATGTCAATATCACATAAATGTTATCGCATACTAGTGCACTACTACCACATGATAGATGCTCCCCTATCCATATACATATAAACACACACATTACTGTTTCATATATTATTTTTATACTAGCTCCGTTAGTGGACACCAACTATTATACTAAATTGCTAACTTTATCATTGAAAGAGACAATTTGTAGATTTACATTTCACCCAACATACTTTTTTTAACTTATTCACACCTAGTCATTTTGTATTATTGCAAATATTACTACTATACATTAGTGAAATATTACTACATTCCTCTCCATCAAAATAATCATAATATCTCGTACAACGTTGACACTATCCAAAGAGAGATCATTAATTCTACATTAAGTGCATAATCATTTGCGTAGTTACATTACATATATGATAACCTACAAAACAAACAAAAAAAACATATCCCGCACCCCAAAACCCCTCACACCCCAGCGCGATAGAATAGTAATATACCATTATTTTCAACACTGCAATTAATCATTGATCATTCATAGAATCTTTTCTTTTCTTGTCTTGTAAAATGGATGAAAATCAATATTTTCCTAATTTTGCTCCACCTAAATTAGCTCCTTACTTCTTGGGTTGTAGACATAATTGTGGTCAATATCCATTGACAAATGACAAGAAATTTATTTTCTACTCCTTGACTTATGCCACAATTATGAAAATGGGTCAACTGCATTATTAAATTTTCTAAAGACACCAATAAACCAAAAAGGAAATATATATATATTTCATTAATGCCATTTTATTTAGTCATTGATCCAACTATTTTCTTTAAATTTTAAATCAAAATTTGACTTTAAAAAAAAAAACTTAGATAATCTCAGTTTTACTGGACTAATACTAGCCTTACACAACGCTATAGTACCCTACCATTAGTCCATTAGAGTATTCAATTATAAATAAAATAAATTAAAGTCTTAATCCCTGTATCCATCCCCGGGACCTCCCCACCCTGACCCGACTTGAAAGGGACGAAGGGAGTAGCAAAAAAGAATCCATACCTCTCTTTCATTGTACATTGGGATCTGTACGAGAATCATCGGATAAACTCCATTTCCGAGCTCGGCGTCGGCCTCCAACGGCGCCCATTTGAAGCGTTTCTCCGGCGTGCGGCGGAGGAGCTTGACGAAGAACATCACCACCCCCATGTAAACCCTCTCCACGAACAGCATTGTGGACATGATTAGGCAGAGGTAGACGGCAATGTCCATGAGGAGTGGCACCACCGGCGGCAGCCGGAACCCTCTAATCCGCCCCCACATCAGCATCGCCATCCCGGAAACATCGTCACCGGCGCCGGAGAACGTCTCGTTCAGCACCGCCGACGCCGTCGACGACAGGGGATCCATTATTTATTTTGTTTTTGTCAATTGGAGTTGGTTGGCGGAGTGAGAGTGTGTGTGTGTGTATATATAGAGATAGAGAGAGATAGAGAGAGAGAGAGAGAGATCTGTAAATCTGCAGTGTGAATGTAAAACAGGGGAAAGGGTGACTTTCCAGGGTGACTCTGCATATACTTTTCGAATATAAATTATATAAAATAGTCAAATATGTCCCCAATTAATAATAAGAGCAGAATTAAACTTTTTAACTAAAAAATATGTTATTAAAAAAAACTAAAAAATATGTTATTAAAAAAAACTAAAAAATATCTCGATTAAATATTTGAAGTTATAAAATAAAAATGTAAGTAAACCCTTGAACTTGTAAAATAAAATGTGTAATTAGCACCATTTTATCAAAGCTAACATGCTATATGATTTTTTTTAGTTGATATAGTGTAAGTTTAGAATTGATATATAATAATAATAATAATAATAATAATAATAATAATAATAATAATATTATTATTATTATTATTATATTATTATTATTATTATTATTATTATTATTATTGTTATTGTTATTATTATTATTATTATTATTATTATTATTATTATTATTATTATTATTATTATTATTATTAATATTACATCACCAAATCACCTAAAACCCCATATGGCAAGTCTACTCAATAGGTTACTTGATGGTAAATGTGCTAATTGCAATACATACATATATGTGTGTGTCAGTGTGTGTATGTGTGTGTGAAGTTTTTATAATTGAAGGGTCTAATTGCATTATTACTAATAATTTGGGAGTTTATTTGATCATTTTTTCTATAAATTATAAGTGGTGGATGAAAAGTAAGAATTAATTTGATCACATCCTATTTTCTTTTAAAAATTGATCTAATCACAAATTAAGAACATCAGATTTCACTAAATAGTCACATGTGTTCGGTGTATCCTAAATTTTCGTGTCACTTTTATTTTCTTTTTAACATTAATGACCATAACTACGTAGCACAGAAACTAGAAAATAAATTTGAAACACAAAAATATATAAAAAACAACAATTCTTTTAAATGCATCCTTTTAAAAAAATTAAACTATTGAAATACGTTTCAGTTAAACACTTAAACCCTTGAAACAAGTCTCCATGTAGAAAATGAGTTTTTAAAAACAAAATATTTTGAGATGTTTTTGTAAGTTTTCATAACTAAACATATTTGAAACATGAAATAATTTCTTTTGAGAGTTTTAGTATATCATAGTAAGAACTCGTGTAAAGTTTAAAACAAATTAACAATTACAGTTACAAGAGATGCTCAATAGTTACATTAATGTATAATTAAAAATAATATTAATTTCGTGCTAATTCACTTTCGATCGAACTTGTTACACACTTTTTTCCTAGTGACATTTACCTGTCTTATGTGAGATATGAGCTATAACCATGAATATGATTTACTGAGTGCATACCCTCGAATAATAACTACAAATTTAATTTTCCTTGTCATCTATAAAAAATATTAACTTAATCTTATAATTGCGAGAGTAATTTGACAATTCATATCTACTTGACAACAAAAAGTACACTTTATCTTTTATGAAATCCCCAAAAAGAAAAAAAAAATAAATTGATCGACAAATAATTGAAAATTAAAAAGTGAAAATAACTTGACCGCATTGTTTTATTTCACTTTCTTCCTTGATGCATAAAAGACATGTGCTGCTATAGGTCACATGGACCACGGCCTCTCTTGAGCTACAAACGACAATCCAAAGACAGCTATTTTGTTATTTTTATTTAATGTCACAAATTTACTAATTAATTTGGATCACACTTATGTTAGAGCGTCTCATATGTTCTTATCTGTGTGACAGGTCAAGTCAATATGCAAAATATAATGCTTATACTAGCAAATGTAATACTAAATCATGAATAAAATTTTTGTTACTTGTAAGGGAAAATGTAATATTTTTGAGAACAAATGTAATACTTTTAAATTTGTATGTAAAAGTATTACTTTTTTTTTTTAAATCAAAAGTATTATATTTTTCCCTTATAAGAAATGTTGCACTTATAAAGGAAAATGTAATACTTTTATATCAAAATCTACAAGTATTATTTATACATTTTTCTTCAAAAATATTACATTTTCACATATAAGTAATAAACATTTTATTTTTGATTTAGTATTACATTTGCTAGTATAAATATTACATTTCATCTTTACCCGACCTGTTTCATGGACATTTGTCTGTGAGACAATCTCACACAACTTTTTGCCAATTAATTTTGATGCAATAAGGCAACGTGATGTTTTCTACTTTAATTAATTAATGTAGTTAATTAAAATGTGTCAGAAGTCGATCGTAACGTTTATGCAAAGTGTAATAATACCAACAAATATAGTGGGGGGTCAGTGACTATTTTATGAATAATTATCATATAGGGGCAGTGTATTTTTTTTTATAATAAATATATACACATATATAAAGACAATATACATATTGGATTAGTATGTATTTATGTATATAAGTGTATAACATATGTCGATGTGATTAGTAAAGAATGTGAATCCAATTAATATAACATGCATAGCATAAATATTATACAGAGTATATTTTTTCTTCAATTTTTTTTTTTTTTGAGGAATATTTTTTCTTCAATTGATTACATCCAAACCAAATTGCCTGCATGAGTACCATTTTTTTTTTTTTTTTTAAAGGAGAGTACCTTAGTTGGTTCTTGGGTAACATATTATGGGTAAGAATGCATGATAGAACTTTGACAGTCCAGTGTGGGAGTTACACCTAATGTGGTGGGCACCTTGTGGACACCAGTAGGAGCGGATCTAGAAATCTTCTCCAGTGTGGGCGGAAAATTAAAACTAAGGAGATATTTAAAAAAAAAAAAATGAAACACTTAGAGACCGAGCCATAAATATTGTTGACTAGAGATGAAAAATCAAAATACATCAAGATAACAAATATTTAAAACAAAATATAAAACATAATTAATTAGATAAAATAGTTTGAATGGAAAACATATTATAAATCACTCATCTCACCATTAATCTTAATTACAAATAAAAAATCTAATTAGAATTCTCACTATTAAGTATTATTAAAAATGCCAAAAATAAAATTTCACTCATCTCACTATTAATATTAAAAAATAGAAAAAAAAGAAGCCACAATATTACAAATAAAAAATACAATTAGAATTCTCGGAAACAAAATTAAGTGTTGGAGGATTCAAATCGCAAACCATTATATATTACATGGAATTAAAGGCCTTACGATCTAAGCCAAACTAATTTTTGCTTTACTTTTGATATATTTAATATATATACAATATATATGGGGTGGGGGAGTGGGGGCAGCTGCCCCCATTGTGGCTTCGCCATTGGGCATCAGATACTATTCCTCCCACCTAGTGGACTGCCTCCTTGTGGCACTAGATATTGTATTGTGAATCCTGATCCAAAAATTATATGTTTGTAGTTAATACATTTTGTACTAGCAGTTAACAATTTCTCTACCTGTAAACAAATTGAAGGAACTTAATATGGTAATTATAAACTAACATGATAATTACAGACACACAAATTGTTAGCTGCAGCCTGCAGGAACAAAATATGTCAACTATAGAAACATAAGATGTTAGTTAACATATTGTGTCTGCAGTTAACATATTTTGTACCTGCAGTTAACAGTTTATGTGTCTAGTTATCATGTTTTGTATCTGTAATTACCATGTGATGTGCCTCTAATTTGTTTACAGGTACAAAAACGGTTAACTAGTACAAAATATGTCAAACTGCAAATATAGAATCTGAATGTTATTTTTGTACTGAGGTTTACAATGCAAGGTACACCCTAGTTCATGATATAAATTGCCACATACTGATCATCTCACTTAATGAACCGTTGAGTCATTGTGATTTAATTTACCACCCTCACAAATCTTGTTAGGACCGAAATATTAAGTCCCAGGACTAAAAAGTTTACCTTTTTTGGGCAAAAATATGAACCAAATTATCCCAATTACGGTCTTACGGAGTACTATATTGCATATAGTATCACAACATTTCATCTTCGTTTTTAGTACTCGATCATTAATTCAATCACATTTAATTTTCAAAATTCATCATGTCAAGTTGTAAAAGTGGATTTCGATTTGATCAAATTTAAACATATCAAAAATTTAAATTTAATCAACTTAAATCGATCGAGAATTAAAAATAAAATATTGTGTTCAACGGGTGCGTTTAGTTTCTGAAAAAAAAACAGAAAATTTAAAAATAAATAAATTTAAATGTGTTTTTAAATACATTTTTTCATTTTTCTATATGTAAAATTATTTTTTCATTTTCCCAATCCAATAAATGATTTGATTTTTTTTTTCTTGTTTTCCATATTATTTCCAAATACAAAAACACATAAATTTCTCTATAATGACTATTATCATTAACTACAAACTTCTACTTCACTTATCTATATAAAATATCATCTAGCCACCCCATCCAACTATGTACATCTATCACCACCTAGTTACGTTATCCTCGGTCCTATCTATTTATTTTCCTATCATCACACTATTCATACTATCTACATATCTACTATTATGCATGACTACATACAGGGCCGTATTTTAAATTTTGGTGGCCCTGTTCTGGTAAATAAATGTGGCCCTACCAAAATCACAATTTTTAAAATCAATACATGCAAGTTTCGAACCTTTGACCTCCAAGTTAAAATATAATAAATACACATTTTTACCATCTCTTCATAAAACTTTTTAAGTTTAATTGAAAACTCTTAATTTTTATTTCTAAACTAGCTAGATAAAAATTAAATATTGGACCTATAAAATTTGGGGCCCCTCTAAAATTGGGGGCCCTGTGCGGTAGCCCAGCTTGCACAGCCTAAAATCCGGCCATGACTACATATAATAGTTTTTTTTTTTTTTTTTTTTTTTTTTTTTTTTTTTTTTTTAATATTCTACCCATTATTAGCAATGACAATAGGTAGTACTTGTCTGTTTAGACATTTACAAATCCAAATTGAACTCGGATACACTTAAAACTACCTAAACACGAATGGATATAACACACACTTCCAAACGTATTTTACATTATTACTCATTTAGTACTTGAAATCATCTCAAAATATGGTTAATATACATAGACACACACATTATCGAGAACATAAATTTCACTATTATCTGAACATGTTTCAAATTTGATTATCAAATATCTAAATCGTACCAGTCCTATTAAGGTCCGGGGGGTCAGAATGTCAGATGCCAAATACTATTTTACTCATTGTCATCCATTGATATTATTCTATCATCTGAATTAAAATTCGAAAGGTGAACCTCAAAATTTTGAATATTCAAAATAAAATTTAGATGTGGACAACAAAATCTAACACGCACACATGCCTGCATCACACGATATTATTGTCACTTATCATTAGCATATTTTTTAGGTTAAAATGAAGAAAAATAATCAAATTTCAAATAATTTTGTATTTTCTCATTTGAAAAATAGATGTTGATAAAAGCATTTTCTATTTTTCTGATATAAAAAAAATTTAAGAAAACTGTGGAAAAAAAAAAACAAAAAATATAATATACATGTTTTGGAGTGTTAAAATTTTCTATTTTTTCAGAGAATAATGAAAAATTAGAAAATAGATCAATTTTGTTAAGGGTGCACCATGTTAAAAAAAAACTTTGGGTAAAGTCTTTATATTTTGAAGAGTCAAATTCTACGAATACAATATATGATAAATTCTAATAATTTAACACATTTTTAAAATTTAAAAATAGAAATAAAGAATGAAAAATAATGGAAAGAAAACAAATAATCAAAATCAGGGAAACCAACAAGTCTCTATACCGGGGGTTTGAGAATTAAATGTGCACAAAAGTCTTGTCTTCCATTTTACTCGGCTCATATTGCATGAAAGGGCATGTGCTACTATAGACAATCTAGGCCATTCAGGGACAGCTATATAAGAAAGACATTCACAAATTGGAGTAATTAATTCTCTTTGACGCATTAAGGCAACGTCATATATAATTTTATTTTTGTATTCATTAATTTATTTATGTTAATAAAAATTGATTTGTCAACTTATTGACTTATTGTATATGTAACGTGCATAGAAAGTATAAATAACTCGTACATACCTAATAAATAAGAGGGAAGTGGTAAGTATTTTTAAATTTTTGTTACATTTTTTTTAAAAAAAAATTTATGGGTTCTTTAATCAATAAAAATATGTTGTGTTAAAAAAAAGTTCAAATAAAAAAGAAAAATGAGTGTTTGGTAATAGCTGTTAGCTTATTGAGTTAGTGGGTTTGATTAGTTGATAACATTAGCTGATTGTAGAAAGATGTTTGGTAAATTAGCTGTTAGTTGATAGTTGATTACATGTAAAATGAATTTTTTAAAAAGTTGATCGAACAAATTACTTTAAGCAGGTTTTTGAATTTTAACGTTTTGAAGTAATAAGCTATTACTTTTTTTTTTGAAGGTCAATCTTGCGATTGTATTAATGAATCAAAGCCGAAATAGCGTCAGGTGGGATAGCATCCCAGTACATAGCTTGATCCTGAGTAAATGCTAACGTAGCTAAAGTATGCGCATGTAAATTAACCTGCCTAGAGATGTAATCCAAAGTAATACGATTAAACAACGACATAAACGTTCTGCACTGGTCAATTGTGACCCCAACGTACGAATGGATCGGCGTGTGATGGTGCCTGATTATCGCAGCCAATTCCATGCAATCCGTGAGTAAACTTACTGATATGTTGTCCCGCTCAAGTAGCCAGGACAAAGCCTCCTTGTATGCCTGGGCCTCCGCCATAAGTGGTGAAAAACAAATTGGTAACTTGCCATTCCTTGCTGCCACAAACGAGCCATCTGGTGCTATAATAATCATGCCGTAAGTAGCCTCGCCCGTGTCGTGCCGGAAACCTGCGTCCACATAACATCGTAGACCACCCTCCCCTAGATCGTTCAAGTGGTCCGTCGCCAGTGCCGGGTCGGTTCGGCGGACATGGGCAGCGCCGTACGCCTGCATTATTACGGTGGCTGCTCTGACCAATTGGGTAGGCCGCATCATTGATCCCTTCCAGACAGCTGAATTCCGGGTTCTCCAAATATAATATAATACTGCTGTCATTAACCGGGTCTGTTCCTCCGTCATGGCCGCCATAGCCCCTTTTAGCCATGATGTAAACGAGTCTGCAACAATATTAATAATAGGCAATTGTGTTATATTCCAAACAAGTCTAGAATATTCACAGAGCACTAAAGCATGCAACACATCTTCATGATCCAAACCACACATAGGGCAAGTTGGGTCCACCTCCACCCTTTTAAATATCAAGTTAAGGGTTGTTGGCAAAACGTCACATATGGCTCTCCACAAAAAAGTTTTCCATTTAGGGGGGACTTTTATTTTCCACATTGCAACCCACTTATCAAAATTCGCTGGATTATTCTCATAATCACCCACTATATGCCTATAAGCATTTTTGACTATATATATCCCCTTTGGGTCACTCATCCAATACCATGAGTCCTCATACTCAGGACTAACAGGGATCATATTTATTCGCTCTACATCCTCAGGATTAAATAAATCAGACAAAATATGCGGATCCCAGGTATGAGTCTGTAAATCAATTAGTCCTGCAACTCGTGCCTCTCTCAATTGCTGTGGCATTTCTGTTTGAATCAATGGGCTAGGATTATCTCGTAACCACGGGTGCCCCCATATTAAGTTGTCTGTCCATTCCCAATCCTCCTTCGCACCCCTGAGACTACCATTGCATGGGCTGTCATTATACTTCTCCAACAGTAACTTGGGCAATTACCAACAGTTGCATCTGTAAAACTGGTTGTGGGGTAATACCTTGCCTTATAGATTTTAGCTACGAGTGTTTCTGGGTCTGTTAAAAATCGCCATGGCTGTTTACCCAACATTGCTAGGTTAAAAGCCCTCAGCTCTTTAAAACCCATACCACCATACTTTTTTGGTATGCACAACCTGTCCCATGCCTTCCAATGTATTCCCCTTTCTCTTCCACTGGCCCACCAATATTTATTCATAGTTCGCTCAATTTACTGACAAACTGTCTCAGGTAACAAAAAAACACTCATCGAAAAGGTAGGCATAGATTGCGCTACACTTTTCAATAATACTTCCTTACCAGCCTGAGAGAGTAACTTTTTACTCCACGAACCAATTCGTTGCCTGATTTTTTCCTCCACATACGAAAAAACAGCTCTCTTATTTCTCCCTACAAAAGATGGTAGGCCCAAATATTTCCCAAAATTGGGTGCTTGCACCACCCCCAGACAATTCGCTACCTGTGCCCTGTCAGCCTCCTGGGTATTTCTGCTAAAACATATATTAGATTTATTATAATTCACCACCTGGCCTGACAATTTTTCATACCTTGCAAGGCAGTGCCTTATAACTCCTGCCTCCTGAATATTTGCTTTAAAAAATAGGAGACTATCATCCGCAAAAAATAGGTGTGATACAGGCGGCGCCCCCCATTGCAACTCTGCATCCATGTATTGAACCTGCCAACTGTTCATACTGTAATATCATCGAGAGAGCCTCTGCACAAATAATAAATAAATACGGAGAGAGCGGGTCTCCCTGCCTGAGTCCCTGGTTGGTTTTACATGCCCCTGCTATACCATTAACCATTACAGTATAATTAACAGTCGTTACACACATCATAATGAGCTTTATCCACTTCTCACTAAAACCCATAACAGTCAGCATCCTTTCTAGAAAGCTCCACTCCATTCTATCATAGGCCTTTGACATATCTAACTTCAATGCACTCCATCCCACTATACCACATTGCTTTCTATTCAGATAATGCCCCACCTCTGCTGCCACCAGGATGTTGTCAGTGATTAGCCTTCCCGGGATAAAAGCACTCTGGGATTCTGATATCAATCCTCCCATCAGTGTTTTCATTCTATTCGCTATCATTTTGGCCATAATTCTGTAAACGACATTACTCAATGCTATCGGCCTTAGATTTGCAACTGTCTCAGGCATCTCCTTCTTCGGTATCAAGACAATGTTAGTATCATTCAATCCCTCAGGGAATACACAGGAATTCAAAGCATTCATTATAAAGCCAGATACATCTCCTCCCACTATCTCCCAAAACTGCTGGTAGAAACCCGGGTTTAAACCATCCGGACCCGGTGCCTTATCCGGATACATTGAAAAAAGAGCCTCTTTAACCTCATTAGTTTCAAAAGGGCGGTCTAGCATCATATTTTGCTCTAACGTTACTCGTGGGGTTAGGACTCCAAAAAGTGGATCATCACAACTCAATCCATTAGAGGCAAAAATATTTTCAAAGTAATTCTGTATAACAACATGCATATCATCCCCCTCCACCCAGTTACCAGCATCACATTTAATACTAGAAATAAAATTCTTTTTCCTACGTGCAGAGGCATACTGTGATAAAACTTAGTATTTGCGTCAGCCCCGCGTAGCCAGTGCTGCTTGGCCCGCTGCCTCCAAAACACATCCTCCTGGGCCTCTACTCGTCTCATGGTATTCTCAATCTATTGGTACTCAGCTAACGCTACCATATCTCGTCTATTCCGTATGGCATCTTGCCTCCGCTGCAGGTGGTTAATTCGTTTTCCGAATCTATGAAACTGATCTCCACCCCACTGCATCAACTTTTCTCCACACAACTGCTGGCAATGCAGCAAACCCTCCGTTCTCCCTTCTTGCCAGGCCGTTTCTACTACTTCTTTGCACCCCTCATCTAATAGCCAAGCCATTTCAAATCTGAACTTCTGCGGCCCCCTTCTCCTCGGCATGCAAAACGCATTAATACTGAGGAATATGATCGAATGATCCGAGGCCCGGGTTCGAATATTCTCCAGCCATGCATTCTCATTAAGTAGACCCCAATCATTCGTTATTAATGCATTGTCCAATCTTTCCTCTATCCAATTCGGCGTCCCCTTTCCCTTCTGCCACGTATACTGATGGCCCCTCATTGGCATTTGCACCAAACCACAGTCATCCACAGCATCTCCGAAACCCCTTAACAGACTATTAGGATACGGATTTCCCCCCTTCTTCTCATGCTGGTATAGTAGATTATTAAAATCCCCTATCACCACCCAGGGCAACAAGGATCTAGTTTTGAGAGTACCAAGTAAATCCCATGTCTCCTCCCGCCTGCCACGTTCGGGGATACCGTAAATGCATGTCATGCGCCATATCTTATTAAACAAGCTTACCTCCACATCAATATGACTCTGTGAGTAGCTTAATAGCCTCACCGTATTATTCTTTTTTCATAAAAGCGCCATTCCTCCACTCAAACCATCGTTATCAACATAAAACAAACCTTCATAACCAAGCGTAACCCGGATCCGTTCTGCATGTATCCGTGGTACCTTGGTCTCCATCAAGAACACAAAATCAGGCTTCTTACTAGACGCAAGGCCCACAATCTGTCGAACTGTGCGTGGATTGCCCAAGCCACGACAGTTCCAGCTCAGAGTACTCATGATGATGGGCGGGGCTGGACACCAGCTCCTGCCATGGACAAGTTTTTTTAAACAGCTGCGATTGGTACCTCATCGTTTCCACTATCCTCTCCCCCCTCCGTTCCATGCCTACGATGCTTTGTCGTAGCCACCACCACCTCATCCTCAGACATACTTGTGGGTGTGACACCCCCGCTTCCCTGTCCCCCATCCACCACACGTGGCTTGACTCCCAGTGGTCGTGGTTTCCCGCCTACCGGAACAAGCCAGCTATCCCCAACCGCTCTAGGAGCGCTCCGGGATCCACCAGCTCGCAAATCCGGACCGTACAGGTACCTTTCGACTGGAAGTCCAGCCTCCCTAGCGTGTATGCAGAAAGTATGCAAGTGACCCATACAGCCACAAAAATAGCAAAACTTATGCAGCCGTTCATATCTAAAATTTACCCATGCTGTAGTCCCATCTCTCTTCATCAACCTCATCCTCCTCCTAAGCGGCCTATCAATCGAAATTGACACCCTAATACGGTGAAACGTTAGCCATGGCGCCCCCTCAAACCGGTTATCATGTTTAACAAAAGAGCCCAAAAAATTTCCTGCCTGCTCCAGAATTGCATGCGACGTGTATCCCTTTGGCATGTCATGCAACTGTACCCACATGTCAATCATATCTAGCTCTACATCCACAGGATTCACCCCATCTAACACCTCCCGACACACCAAAGCATTATTCTCAAAGGCCCAGGGTCCTCCATTCAGCACATATTCCACATCCGTCTTATGGAAAAACACAAACAAGAATAAACCCCTTTGAATCTCCGTTACCTGTACTCCACGTACCGGCTGCCACACAGATGCCAGAACTTGCCTCATAAAGTCCAATTTTACCATCTTCTGTGTCAAAAACCGGCCAACAATCCTCCAAGTCTCTTCCTCCTCCTCCCCATCACCCTCTACTACCCCATCCCCACCTTCCGGCATAAACACCGCCCCTTCCTCCTCCATCAAAGCCATCTCCGCCCATCTATCCGTCAACTCCGCCACACCCTGCTGCCGTGTACACCCCCCCAGCCCCCCTCCAACGCTGCTCCGTACTGCCCCTATTCCCCCCTCTTCCCAAACTGCCCACATCACCCCTACAACCCACGTCATCCCCCTCCAAATCGCCCACGCAACCTCCGCCAAACCTCCCTGCCAACGTAACTCCCTCTTGCCTCATCCCTCCGCCACGTTCCCCCCTTCCCCCACCTTCCCGTAATATAGGTGTCGGCTGGAGCCCCACATCCGCCCCCAATTCCCTCCCCACTTGCCCCCAACCAGCTGCTCTACGTGTCTCCTGCATGCCATCCGTCGGCCGGCGCAAATTCACTTCCTTCGGCAATTCTCTTCCGCGCGTTTCTTCTGCCTCGGCCAACCTCACATCACGTTGATTGACCACACCATCCATATCAATATCGTCGGCCATCTTTTAGGAAGGATACGAACAAAATTGTCTGAAAACCTAGGAAAACCCTAGTAGGTCTGCGAAACTAGAGAGAGAATTATATTGGTATTTTAGTAATAAGCTATTACAAAAAAGCTAATTACTCAAACATTTATATTAACTATTTAATCAAGTCAAACAACTAATAATGATCAAATAATCCAAAATTGATTAATAAGCTAACTATGTTACAAAACAGGACTCTATATCATAAGAGTGAGACTACTAAGTGCGGTATTACTTTAAATACTAATAATAATTACCCTAAAAAGTTATACAGGGTAGTATAGTATTTATGGTTAATATTCTTCCAAAAATTATTACTCATGTTATATAATCCTGCTAAAATCACAAAAAATTGATAAAAAAAAAATTAGGAGTTTTATTTTTTAAAAAAGTTATAATATGTAAAAATAGCAATGGGCTGAGGAACAACTATCCTCATCCACGTTCCCCGATCTTGATAGTTATTACTCTCCATCCCGATTCTTGTTAGCAAGGAATTGGATTGTCTCTTGAGTTTAAAGATAATTTTCCTCGCTAATAATATCACATTGTAAATTGATATAAAAGAGTTAATCAAGTTTCTCCATCAACCCCAATTTGTAAGAACTATTTGTGTTTGGTATGATTTTTAACAAAAATAAATATAATGCGATAAATTTAATCAATTTTACTTAAAAAGATATGAATTGAGACTAATATAGAAAAATTAAATGGTAACTAAAAAAAATAATAAAAAGTTAATGGTATTGATAGGTTGTACCCCCAACCGGCCAAACAACCGCCGACCGATGCCCTGCCATACCTGACTAGCCCCGACCATGTTGAATTTGTTCGTGTTCTCCCGACCGCTGTTCATTCCGAGTGCCGATTACTTTGCTCAACTGTTGTACGCCTTAAACCTGCGAGACCCTACGTGTCGACAGGGAGCAGTGCCAAGAGCGCCGCGTCCAGCCGTAGACACGTACACGCCACGTGCCCACCATGCCGGCAACTCGGACCATGTTTCCCTCCTAACCACCTATAAATACCCACATTAATTGTGGCAAGGGGGACTTTCGATGGATTGGGAAAAACACCTGTCCAGAGGCTCCCGACCACCACTTGATCAGACACAGAGCTAGGGCAATCAGTCTCGTTACTAGTCCATATGTATTAGTACTATCATTTTGGCGCCGTATGTGGGGACTCGATACTAGAAGTCATGTACGACGAGATCAGTCCCAACCATGTATCCATTCATGTATCATCAGGACGAGGCCGAGTTCAGCTCTTCTGACCGTCGATCTAACCGCGACTCGCCCGTCGACCTTAATGCCTCCCCGGGGCGAGTAACTACTCCCGAACGCGTGCATGTCATTCACCAGGACAACAACCTACCGGTGCCCGATCAGCCCCAGTTCTCGTACCCGGGTTACGCACCTGTGCCGCCCAACCCACCGTATGGATTCTGGCCTAGTATGCCCGGCTACAACCCACGGGGGCTCACATGCCTCAATTTTATCCAGGGATGTACCGTCTACCACACTTGTGACAACCCAAAATTTGATTTTATAAATTCGGTTTTAAGAAATTCCAAAATAGCCATTTTTCACTTTATAAAAATTTTTCGAATAAAATTGGTGTTTGAATAAGTTATTTTGAGAGGCTTTTAAATAAATTCAACACTGGAACTTATTTTAAATCTAAAATCCTAAATTTTTGGGTTCGGGTACATTGCGTACCAAGTTTTCGATCAAAAAGTCAATCTGAGTGAAACCGAGAGAAACCTAAACTAAGTGGTTGTCTAGAATGTATTTTTGGGAAAATATATTTTAACCCCCAAACTATTTAAAAATCTCATTTCTAGACCTTGGTCCATGATGCTTCGTGGACCCCAAGCCTTTGCCTTTGTCTGATGCATTTTAAAGAGCCAACAATTTACCCTTTTGCCCTCAACCAATCATTGGGTTGCAACCTAGGGTTTTGAACCTATATAAATAGATACTATTCTATTGCTTTCTTCTCCTGATTTCTCCATTGTGCCTCTTCACTCCAAAGCTTTAGAGATCAGATTGGTAGAGGGGAGAAATCACAGTAAGTATTCCACCTTCATCCCCAACCATTCATTCTATTCATCTTTCCCTTAAGGTTTCATCTTCCTTTGCTTAAATCTCTGAAGTTCTATCTCTAGGCTTGGTTTGTATGGTTGTATGAGGAGTCTAGGAAGTGTCATCTGAGGAAGGAAAGGGAACCACACAAAGAAGAGGAAGAAGAAGATGAGGTATAACCCCATGGACTCCCATCTTAAGTTTTGGCTTTGTGAAGCCATTGTTTTATAGGTAGAAATGAGTAAAATGCTAGATTTTTGAAGTGTTTGAGCTATTAAGTGATCTATTACTGGTCTATGATGTGTTGTTGATGTTTTGGATGCGCTAGAATTACCTGAAAATGTTTTGCAAATGAGAAGAAATCATCTGGTGCACAGGCAGTATGCACCAGTAGATTCACCGGCCCCAGCCAACAACCCAACTAGGGGACCGTTGGCTAGAGCTGTGGCCAGCCGGGCCTAGGGAACAGCCCTAGGAGAGGGCCGTTCCCTAGAGCCGGCGAGATGGCGGTTTGAGGGGCGGGCCTAGTTGAGCCCCGCCCCAAGGTCCGTTGAGCTGTTCCCTGTGCAGTGGCCGGGCCCTTGCGGCTCAACTACGTGTCGTTTCGGACCAGGTGTCACGGGCCCTTGCGGCTCAGTACCTCGGGGCCGTCTTGACGCACGTTTTGGTTTTGATTTCGTTGGATTTGGTTAAGTTTTGAGCTAGTTATGAATGTTTTTGTATAAGAAAATGTTGCAGAAGTATGTCCAGTAAATGAGATGATGTGTTTATCAGACTTTGATCCTCTATATGTTGAGCATGATATTACTGACTTGTTAAATAGAAAAGCATGCGCCCTATGTGCTAAGTTTTGCTACAAGAAGCATGACTAAAATGTCTAGTATGTTTATTTAAGTTGTCTGCCCTTGTTTTAGAATCACCAAGATGTTCTGAGCATGATTTCCTTGAGTATTGTTATACTGTGAACGAGGTTACCTCGAGCATTTTGAGTTCCAATGGCATGTTAAATACTTGCTAAGTGTTAGTTGAGGAGATTTGTCAAGTTATGACTTAGAAGCATGATTTATTGAATTATTGAGATTTCACATGATATATATTATTGAAGCATGTTGTACAGTAATTTACATTCCAAACATATCATGTTTT